AATACTAAATCCTTGGAATAACTGGACTAGTCCCAAGCTTAGAGTTTCCTCGATAGCTCTACCGAGTCCTTGCATTCCCATAATGACTTCTTGGTCCTAAGATTCCTTCTATGACTTTAAGACTTTAAGGATTTCCTTAAAGACTTTAAGACTTTCAGGAGTCCGTCAATTCATCTAAGACTTTTAGTATTTCCTCAATTACTTTTATGACTTTCAGGATTTCCTCAATCACTGTAAGATTTTTAGCAATTCTTCAAATATTTTCAAGACTTTCAGAATTTCCTCAATTACTATTTAGACTATTAGAATTTCCTCAATTACTATTGAGACTATTAGAATTTCCTCGATTACTATTTAGACTATTAGAATTTCCTCAATTACTATTTAGACTATTAGAATTTCCTCGATTACTATTAAGACTATTAGAATTTCCTCGATTACTATTAAGACTATTAGAATTTCCTCAATTACTATTAAGACTATTAGAATTTTCTCAATTACTATTAAGACTATTAGAATCTTCTCAATTACTATTAAGACTATTACGATTTACTTAGTTGCTATTAAGACTTCTGGGATTTCTTCTGTTACTTTTTAGACTTTCAGGAATCCATCAATTCATCTAAGAACTTTATGATTTCTCAATTACAATTAAGACATTTGTAATTTCCTGTATTGGTTTCCCTCAATTACTATAAGACATTGATTCCCTGAATTACTGCAAGTCCTTTTTTGACCCCTTCAATTACTATTTGTCCTTAGATCTCAGTTAGTTGAATTTCTTATTCATTTCTCCATATGTAAGACCCACTGTTAGGTTGTAGACTGAAATATGTTAATCTAACTTTGATGCGGCACCATGATCTACTGATAATGCAGACATTCAATTTCAAAAAATCATAAGAAAAATTAGAACCATGATATGATGACCAACAAAAGTCTGTCAAATGTCAGGAGTTAATTGAGAAGCAGCCTCACTTTGGTTAGGGGCAGTTCCCTGACGACTAGTGAATTACTCTCACTTCACCTTATAACCAAACGTCCCTTGGGACAAGACATTTACTGACATCTGGGGTGTAGGTCTATGGGGACACAATTTTACCTCTAAACTCCATAAACTGCTAATACAGCACCATGCAAGCAAGACACATTTGCAGCATATATTTAGTTGCATTTGTTTCTTTGCCACTGGTATTGGCCAGATCTACTGGGGGTATGTGTAATTTGATCTAAGACAGTGTAGATAGACATTGCTCTCTCTCTGTGGTGATAAACTTGGACATTAACATAATTATCATTGCATTTTCTGAAGTATCGATTTCAGGCATTATTTCTTTTCTAATATATAAAAAAAATTAGAATAATTAAGTTATATGCTTTATACTGTTGGATATGTTTTAAAATTAAATCTTGTAAAGAAATATAAACACTCAGTGTGGAATTTGATGACAAGTTTCATGGCTTTCTACAAATAAGTTAAGCAGACTTTCTGGATGATTAGATATTGGAATCATTGTTAAAACGGGAACATTTATGCTGGCTTCCTTTATCAAATTTAAATTTTATGTCACAATATTTGTGGGAAACAAACCTGTGCTAATGTCACTGATTTTGCTTTTGTTGAAATTGTATAATAGGTCGGCATCAAGATTTCTGATTTAGTCCTAAACAAGATTAGGATTAAGTGAATATAAATAAGTCTGTAGATGTATGTAATACAACATAGATTACGTTTACTTCACATTTTATTGCAAAGATATTTAATTTTCCAGAAATTAAAGTTTTTCATTTCAAAAGTGAAATGCTGTGATGGCATTTATGGTTGTGTGCCACACAATCTACATTTGTTTGTTTAATTGAATGATGGGACCATTTTGACTTATGAGTCGACGGGTTTTAAACTGTTAAAAATCCTATTCCAAAAAGCCTATTGAGCACAAAATGAGAAGGACATCTTAATTACAAGACGTGGTGTGAATTATCATACCTGAAAGTTTAATGTCACCTTTAATTTTACCTGCTTATGAGCAATATGACTATCTACACACCTATACTGACAATCTAAGTAGGTACAAAACAATAGACATAAGGAGATCAAGTATTCTATTGGTGAGAATAGTGGTAAAAACTGCACATCATCGATCGAGGCCTGCAGAGCTGTTTGTGGAGGGGTTAGTCAGACAGGTATATACCTCTTCAGTGATTAACCAGTGTATTTTGATATCCCAGCTAGTGTCTGTCAGGTGTGGACCATTCTCATGCATACTTCATGCTGGTGGTGGTAGTCTTAAGTGCAGACCTTGGGAACTCTAACGCACGACAAAGCGAAGGAGCACACTACTTTTTGTGATGTGTGTTTGTTGGTACGATGATGTGGTGGTGGTGGTGGTGGTGGTGGTGGTGGTGATTTATTCTGCTGCTGGAAGGGTATATACCCAGACACTAGGTGTGAAGGTGTGAATGTTGCCTGGCTGTTATAGCACATTTTAATTCTGAATTGCTGTGCTTACTGATTTATTAACCAGAAATTGTAAAGACAAGAGAGAATAAAATGACAGAAAGTTGTGGTCTTATGAACATTGATCAGATATTGTTCGCCAGCATGTTATTGTGACGGTAGCATACACTGGATGTGATTGTTTTGCTCTGCCAAAGTCTACACGCTACAGACAGGTGAGGGTAGGATACTCCTCTGTATTATCTACACACTACAGACAGGTGAGGGTAGGATACTCCTCTGTATTATCTACACACTACAGACAGGTGAGGGTAGGAAACTCCTCTGTATAATCTACACACTACAGACAGGTGAGGGTAGGATACTCCTCTGTATAGTCTACACACTACAGATAGGTGAGGGTAGGACACTCCTCTGTATTATCTACACACTACAGACAGTTGAGGGTAGGATACTCCTCTGTATTATCTACACACTACAGACAGGTGAGGGGAGGATACTCCTCTGTATAGTCTACACACTACAGATAGGTGAGGCTAGGACACTCCTCTGTATTATCTACACACTACAGACAGTTGAGGGTAGGATTCTCCTCTGTATTATCTACACACTACAGACAGTTGAGGGTAGGATTCTCCTCTGTATTATCTACACACTACAGACAGGAGAGGGTAGGAAACTCCTCTGTATAATCTACACACTACAGACAGGTGAGGTTAGGATACTCCTCTATATTATCTACACACTACAAACAGTTGAGGGTAGGATACTCCTCTGTATTAGCTACACACTACAGACAGTTGAGGGTAGGATACTCCTCTGTATTATCTTCCTGCTACAGACAGGTGAGGGTAGGATACTCCTCTGTGTTATCTACGCACTACAGACAGGTGAGGGTAGGATACTCCTTTGTATTATCTACACACTACAGACAGGGGAGGGTAGGATACTCCTCTGTATTATCTACACCCTACAGACAGGTGAGGGTAGGATACTCCTCTATATTATCTACACACTACAAACAGTTGAGGGTAGGATACTCCTCTGTATTATCTACACACTACAGACAGTTGAGGGTAGGATACTCCTCAGTATTATCTACACACTACAGACAGGTGAGGGTAGGATACTCCTCTGTATTATCTACCAGCTACAGACAGTTGAGGGTAGGATACTCCTCTGTATTATCTACACTCTACAGACAGGTGAGGGTAGGATACTCCACTGTATTATCTACACACTACAGACAGGTGAGGGTAGGATACTCCACTGTATTATCTACACACTACAGACAGGTGAGGGTAGGATACTACTCTGTATTATCTACCTGCTACAGACAGTTGAGGGTAGGATACTCCTCTGTATTATCTACCTGCTACAGACAGGTGAGGGTAGGATACTCCTCAGTATTATCTACACACTACAGACAGGTGAGGGTAGGAAACTCCTCTGTATCATCTACACACTACAGACAGGTGAGGGTAGGATACTCCTAAGTATTATCTACACACTACAGACAGGTGAGGGTAGGATACTCCACTGTATTATCTACACACTACAGATAGGTGAGGGTAGGGTACTCCTCTGTATTATCTACACACTACAGATAGGTGAGGGTAGGATACTCCACTGTATTATCTACACACTACAGACAGGTGAGGGTAGGATACTCCTCTGTATCATCTACACACTACAGACAGGTGAGGGTAGGATACAGGTGAGGGTAGGATACTCCTCAGTATTATCTACACACTACGGACAGGTGATGGTAGGATACTCCTCTGTATTATCTACACACTACAGACAGGTGATGGTAGGATACTCCTCTGTATTATCTACCAGCTACAGACAGTTGAGGGTAGGATACTCCTCTGTATTATCTACCTGCTACAGACAAGTGAGGGTAGGATACCCCTCTGTATTATCTACACACTACAGATAGGTGAGGGTAGGATACTCCACTGTATTATCTACACACTACAGACAGGTGAGGGTAGGATACTACTCTGTATTATCTGCCTGCTACAGACAAGTGAGGGCAGGATACCCCCCTGTATTATCTACACACTACAGATAGGTGAGGGTAGGATAATCCTCTGTATTATCTACACGCTACAGACAGGTGAGGGGAGGATACTCCTCAGTATTATCTACACACTACGGACAGGTGATGGTAGGATACTCCTCCGTATTATCTACCTGCTACAGACAGGGGAGGGTAGGATACTGCTCAGTATTATCTACACACCACGGACAGGTGATGGTAGGATACTCCTCCGAATTATCTACCTGCTACAGACAAGTGAGGGTGGGATACTCCTTTGTATTATCTACCTGCATCCCAAGGTTCTAAATTGATTTTGCAGCATTTGGATCATCTCTGACATGTGATATACTGCTGAAGAATTTCATCCCTTGATTTTTAACTACTCAAAAGACAAATTATCAATAGATCTTGATGGATATTTTGTCTATATTTCTTGTAGGAGTAAGGTAACTGTGAATCAATCTTTGCATTGAAAATATTTATTTAACATTTCAGTAAAAGATGCCGTGCTGCAGAGGGCTACCATGTATGATAGTGGTGTTTCTGATTCAGTTTGTCGGGGTCCTCTCAAGTCGAGGTAAGTACCTACAATTGAATTTAATCTTCAACAGCATTGTCTCATTGGTGGCACTATTTACTATTACACCAAGCCCTTTAGAGGTTTCCTGAGACTGAAGCCCTGACACTGGCCCCATTGGTGGCACTATTTACTATTAACACTTAGCCCTTTGGACGTTTCTTGAGACTGAAGCCCTGACCTGATTGGTGGCAATATTTACTATTACACCAAGCCCTTTGGAGGTTTCCTGAGACTGAAGTCCTGACACTGGCCCCATTGGTGGCACTATTTACTATTATACCAAGTCCTTAAAAGGTTTCCTGAGACTGAAGACCTGACACTGGCCCCATTGGTGGCACTTTTTACTATTATACAAAGTCCTTAAAAGGTTTCCTGAGACTGAAGCCCTGACACTGGCCCCATTGGTGGCACTATTTACTATTATACCAAGTCCTTAAAAGGTTTTCTGGGACTGAAGACCTGACACTGGCCCCATTGGTGGCACTATTTACTGTTACACTTAGTCCTTTAGAGGTTTCCTGAGACTGAAGACCTGACACTGGCCCCATTGGTGGCACTATTTACTATTATACCAAGTCCTTAAAAGGTTTTCTGAGACTGGTGATTTGGTACTCAGTCGCCCGCCGAGCGACAAATTTTAATCCCTGTTGCTCGTAGCTGCAGGATGATCGCGGAAGAAACGCCGGCTATATCAAGGTAGATCCGCCGGCTTCACATTGATAAGCCCTCCGCGACTATCCCGCGTTCATGGGTGATGGGGATTAAGTCTGGACAGAGAAAATACAGTATATTACTAGTTCAAGTTCAAGTTCAAGTTTTATTCAAACTTTGGACCATGTATGTGTCTGCTGTGGTCGCAGTTCCTGTCTACGGTACCACAGATGTACAATTACAATCGGCACACCGAACAGAAAGCGCTACTTAAATTCCCGAACGGAAAAGAAATAACGCCAGCACATACTAGGGGATGGGGGGGGGGATACGTTAATTAACAAATCATTACAAGTGTCTCCGTTTAGTATACATTGTATAAAATGTTATCACAGTTTACTGATCAACATAAGTTTATTGAAAAATCTACCGAGGCGGACAAGCCTACTGTCCCTGCACTGTGAAATCACCCAAAATTGTTGGTTGGCCTGAAACGTCAATCACACCTCAGCACAGTAGCCCTCCTGTCATAATGGGCAGAGCTTACGCAATACACCGCATCATGCGACTGATTAGATGGTGTGTATCGTCGAGGTGCCGCCCACTCAATTCCCCAAATTTTCGTATTTTTTGTGTGTTTATAGAAATGAAAAATAAAAAGACGGTTGAATTAAATTATGAACAGAATGAAAATATTGGTCCTTACAAGTCTACACTTTAAATAAATGTTTAATATGGTTCCTACCTCGCTAATTTCAAGTTACCTAATCTTATTTTATTCCGTGTGTATCAATTGGAGACAACAAGTATTCGTATTATTTCATGTGTAACTATTGCAATACAAAATTATATATAAAACAAAATCAATGAATAATATGAATATAATTTAGAAGTTTTAAACCAACTACGTTTTGAAAGTTAACTGTATTGCATATCTTTAATCATGATCCCTTTGACACTGTTAGGTTTCAATTTAAATAGTCTAATGTACCGTATTCCTTCACGGATGGTCATGTATAAATTATATATATATACATGTACATACACAGTATCATCGTAAGACCAGCTCTGCTCATATTCCTACAAGAATATTTCAGTTTTTGTCATATTTTCGTACTTTTAACTAATATATCTTGTTTCTATGTATAATACTTTTTGAAGAAAAAAATCAATCGCATTAAGTCCATCCCGGTCCTTACATTTGATCCACAGAATCTGTCGATGTTTTTATAAAAATTCAAACTAACGTTGTGATCCATTTTCATACGTTGGTATAGTGTCAAAATGATCCTGATATGTGTTAAAACTATGTAATATCAATACTTAATAAAATTACAACGAATGTCATTTCACACAAGAACGTTTATAATAATATAAAATGCCGCCGCCGTATATTCCGTAGACAAATCCACATCTATCTGTTGATCTCACGTTTCTTTCAATGCCAGCGTTCCAAACCAAATGCTATAAACTTCATTTCTTCTGTTTAAGAATAATAATACATATACAATTACAAATACAAATGGAAAATAATTAGGACACTACTTTGGAAAACTTCACACATGCTCAACAAAAGTGATAACCAGCATCCGATTACCATGTGTATAAATGTACATTTATTTCATTTCGATTATTACAATAGATACGTATTATAAACAAGATAATTTCTAAAGTATTTTTCAGGGGGGGAAAAAGTATGGGTAAACAAGATCTAGTTATACTAGTTATCGTACCGAGTATGTATTGTTAGTATCATATAAGAAATGCTTGTATTGCAGTTCTCTTTAAAATCGCCATTCCTATACAGAATATACAGCCCCAGGCGAAAAGCAGGTACTGGGAGGCCCAGCTGGGGGTTGGCCTCCCAAAGGAAAGTTTTTGAATTCAAGGTCTCTGGATCAAATTCCCGTGTTATGTGGAAATTTGGCGATTAGATTTAAGCAGACGTAATTTATGTCTCTGATTTTAATTTTGGAAAAAAAATTAGAAAACGTATTTATTGCATTTTTTTTTTAAATTTTACTTTAATTACGCAAGAAAGGTTTGAAATACACGTATATTAAATATGTTTTTACTCATCAAAATTATGTGTACTCATTTGCATATAGCTAGAAAGCTACGCGCCTGCACGATGAAAATGACAATAATAACCTAAGACATGAGATTGCAGCAAGATATGTTCTTCAACTTCTTGCGTAATTGTCAGTAGCAAGGTCACAGTTCACCTCATCAAATGATCTGGTAGACTTGTCCAATATTTGAGACACTAACGTCCTTTTTTACTAGCCAAAACAATAACCGGCGCTTGGACTTTTCTTACTGTAATAATTAGAAATTGTTCCAGATTGTTTTATAATTTTCAAGTACAGTTTCCTGTTTATACATTAAAGATGAATATGTCCAATATATTAACACACGAGTAGAATGGTAAAACTAACCATGCTTGACAACTTGAGACACCCTGCACCCTGTTAGCAGGCAGCTAGCTACCTGCTGTGGGTCAAGGGTCGCTGCCGCCGATACCTGTAGTGATGCAAACGCTTTTTACCCTCCGTTAGAATATGGACTAGCCAAAATCAGTCACATTTGGACGAAATATTAAATTTTAGGGTTGAAAGCATATCTCCAAATCATTCTGTGTCGTGTTTGTTTTGTAACATCTGTCAAGTTCGAAGGCCAACCGGACGCAAGGCTTCACTACGCTAATTAGAGACGAGACATTTTGTTTCGTTTACTGGTTCATAATATTTCCCTATAAACTTTCAAACAAATTGTACACTCAAGAAAATGGAAGAATTTTACACATCTCCGTTACTCGTCAAAGTATTTCGGCTTCACCTGATTGACATCGCATTACGTAATGTACATCAACAGCGCCACCTGTAACTAGGTCGTCGAAAGCAGCTGATTTTCTTTCGTGAATTTATGCCAACATCTGACTTCGAATACGAAATAGAGCAAGAATGGTTGGTGCAAATAGCTAACCATCCAAAACACTGTGCGCTGCTTAAACAACTGAAAGATAGCCTTGTGTTACTCAGAGACGTTAGTTATTGTTACCTTACATAATTGTTTTATTCCGACCGATTTCCACCTGATAATCGGACGTGAACGTAAATGATATTTTTTCGAACGTACCACTTTCTACTACTATATTGTATTGCATGAAATAGTCGTGCATACAACATATAAATATAGCATTCGGGCATCCTGGACTGTCAGTGCTATTCAATGTACAATACATTAGTTAGCTGCCGATCGACAAGTTAATCCCCAACGCTCATTCTCGCGGAGTGGGCGGCCCTCCCGTGACTTTGCTCAGGTGATTTCTCGGTGGGGCTTTAATCCCCTTCACCTGCTCGACGACTGTCGCCCGCGCGGGGTTTCAGTACTGTATAACACAGCTGGTACACTTCACTGTGCTACAAGTATAAATAACGGCTGATCTCAGGATTTCAACACTTTATTGTCATGTATTTAATTATATGCCTCTTTATTTAGATTACGGAAACGCTTGTTTACTCGTAAATATTTTATCCATTTTATTAACTACCAACTTCAGGGAAATACAGACAGTTAATCACCATACCACTTTCCCTGTTATTCCAAGGTCATAAAACCATAAATACTGTCATGGTATCTTATTGAGGATAATCCTCCTAATATTCAAAGAAGTTAATTGATGGTTATAGTAATATTGGTAGCCATTTCCATTGGTTGTGATAACGTTGTTCACCTGATTGCTACCATTGCTGCAGACAATTGTTTCAGAAAAATGTCAGGTTTTAAAATAACTTCCAAAATTGCCATCACTTGCTGAAATCTAAACACACATTTTCTGTTTTTAGCAATTTTAGCCGTCCATCTGAGGATGGAGGGCTGTTCAGGTCACCTTTCTTGGTCCGTCTGTCTGTTAACATTCTTAAATAATTCTTGTTATTGCTATTTCCCAAGATGTACTGGACAAATCATTTTGAAATTTCATGTGAAGGTTTCCCTAATGATCCTTAGTTGTGATTTTTCAAATTTGTGAAACTGATTACAAGAACTAGATGGCTGCGAGGTGTCCATTTTAGATTATGACTGTTAAAGTTTATTATAGCTATTTCGCAATTAAAAGGCAGATCTTGCTCAAAATGCAAATTCCCCCTTGTCTTTATTTGTGTATGTGATATTTTGAAACTGATTGCAATAACGGCTGCCAGGTGGCCTTTTTTTATTTCCATTAATTGCTCAGTTTAGGTATTAAATATAGTGATAACACTAAACACAGCCCAGTTTGAAGAGAAACTTACTGAAAGGTTATATTGTAGTATTCAGACTAATAAAACAAGAAGGATACGAAA